GACGTGTGCTCTTCCGATCTAGCTTATAGTCAAATAAACTAAAGGTTACGTGTACATCAGTTGAGTTGGCTTGATGGTTAAGTGCTAATCAAACGTTATTAAACAATAAACTTCTTGGTAATTTTTAACTTTTAGGTAACCATACAAAATTTTCTTTGTAAATGTAATACCAAGAATAAGTTGAAAATATGTTGAAAATTTTCCTTCCTGCAGAAATAAATACATGTTTAAATTGGTTTTTACTTTTGTGTATTGAATACATTCAAAGTAATAATCAATTTGAGCTGCAATGTATTATAATTACTAATTATGGTCACTTTTTGTTATTTTTAGTCACTTTGTGCAAAGTCATTTTTTTCCTTTTTTCCTTCTGGTTATCGCTAGCAGCCCTGTAATTAAATAATAATTTATTATATTCTGTATTTTTCAAACAAAGATAAAAGTTTAGATGTAAGTTTTTTAATTGTGAAACAATTTGTGCTTTACATAACAATAGTAACAATGTGCACAACAATATAGTATTATATGTATTGATAAGGTCTATTAAAAGGTAGTTATTAAAAGGTTCTGATAATTGTATTAATTAAATTTGATTTATTTTTATACATATAAAGATATATAAAAATAAAGTTTTTACTAAATAATTTTAATACATTTAGATAAATTTTATAAATTATATTTGTTTTACATGACGTTCAAATAAATTAGAATTAGTCATTACATTAATTTTTATTTATTTATTAAAATCATCTTTTACGTACAACTAAAATGAAAAAACGCAACCACGGTTTTTGATGGTTAATAATATTTGTATAAAAGTAATTATATTTTTAAAAAGGATCTTGTGCTTAATAATATTTTTACATGTGAATATTACAATTTTCAAGCAAACTCTGCATCGAATGATCATTGGTCTTTACAACACAACTCTAAACCGAATAGTATATAATATCATAATTAAATTAACAAAGCAATTTAATAATTTGATGCTAATGAGCATCTTTTAAAACCTATAAAATAACTTTGTGCGAAAAATATTACCTCAGCCACGATTTAAACCTGGACCTCTCTGCTCTCCAGGCGGGTATTTTACCGTTTCAACTACCGGACATGTGGTAATATATATCGCAATAATCAATAAATTTAGAAAGAATATCTTTCACGCGGCGACATGTAAACAAACAATTATTAATCTGAATCAACCGTGGAATATTTCAAATAACTAAAATGAAAAAATGTCAACACGGTCAAAACGGATCTTGCTTAATAATATTTTTATATGTGAATTTTACAATTTTCAGTTCAAGCACTTCTTTTTTCGCACTTAATATACGCCATTATATTAATTAAGATGCATTCTTTTTTCCTTCTTGCTTGTATTTCTCTGTAATCCACTGATAAAAATGATACGGATCTAATCTTCACTCATTTTTTTCTCATGCAGAGATCGATAAGATAAGAGATCTTTGTATTTTATTCTTATATTTTATTTTTACATATGTTTCATTACTAAAGATATTCCTTTATTGCGTCCTTGTAATGTTTTTATAATGTCTTATGAATGGCATGCCTTTTAAAAATTTTGAATTAAAAATCTATATTTTATTTTCTTGTCTTGTTAATTCTAGAAACAAAGTTTATTGCATCAAATACGAAATCTTTAAGTATTGAATAAAAAAAAAACTGTTGGTATGGAATATATATTGCCATGACAGGTTTTTAATTCGTTGGTCTAAGTTTGAACTTAAGAAAATAATGATATCTTTCATACGAGAAAAGCAGGCGAGATAACATGGAAAGTTATCGTCGAATCCCATTAATGCAATAGCTGTGCGTGGCCTTATAATCTCGAACTAAAATCGCCGATAATAACTCGAGGGATACATCGGTCAACAATAACTTGAGGGGTGTATCATTTACAGATTTCACGATTGTTCGAGCTGCGTAAGTTACGCGCGCGTCGGATTAAGCCAATTAAAACATCGCTTTCAAGAGAGGCGGGAGATTGAATTTAATATAAAATACTGCCTTTGTAGGTTTCCGCGCCGCATCGCGGTTGCGTATTTTCGCATGATTGGATTTTAATTAAAATATTATTAATTATGCCAACTATCGGCGGAAGTTCCATTTTCATCTTTATTCGCGGAATCCTGTTAATGACTTCAAGATGAAGGCGTTGCAGATAGATCGTTAAGAAAAATGAATTATTTCTGAGAAACAAAATTTATCTCTGCCGCAGCTCTGGGAGCAGCAAAAGCAGTTGGAGGAACAAAGGCGAGAGAAGGAGAGGCTCGAAGCTCTCAGGAAAAAGGACAAGCATGATCACAGCGCGAACGCGTCCACGGAAGTCAAGGAACGCCTTCATGTAAGTTTGGATTTTCTCCTTTGTCGATTAGAAGCGATAAAATTGTTGGCATAATACTTTTTTATGTGTGATCAGGAATGACGATTAAAGTCATCCTCAAGAGACCTTTATACGCACTTTTCTATTTTAAATCGAATAGAATGAATCGATTTAAGAATTCTTTATAAGATAATCCTTTTTTCATGATCTATAATAATTATATCGACGTATTCTATTTAAGAAAATTACCGAAATTATTTATTAATCAGAATACTTGTCAATAAAAAGACAGGAATTGCATGTACGTATCTTTTTTTTTTACCTCCACTTTCAATCTTTACTTATATCTTTTTTTCAAACATCTCCCACCTTATAGCTAACTAGATTTACGGAAAGAGAAACTTTTTTTAAATATAAATATCACTTGCGATCTAATAATTTTGATTAATCAATCACAATCGAATGAAGAAAATCCTCGACTTGAAGAGAATAACGGATTTTACTGTGAAAAGTGTTGACGAATTTTGTGTTGCGTACCATTTTGTTATTATGCTTAATTGTGAAAATGTGACTTGTCTCGTGCTTATCAAATTCGTAAAAATAGATGGAAACTAAAGTTATTTTTGTATTTTACATAAGCTACAATATTTATAAAAGTATATTTTTCACTCCTTTCAACAGCTGTCAAAGCCGGTGAATTTTCTTGCCTGAGTAGGCTTTACTTTACGTGCATTTTACGCCTATTTACTGACTGTCAGGGGGAAAAAAGAATAATTTTTATCCATTTTTACACGTCTTTTAAAGCGAACCTATATTTTCATTTCATCTAAATTCTCTTTATTTAAAAATGGCAGGCAAGAAACTTTTACGTGTCATTTATCGCTTATAACGTCATGTTTCCAATATGGCCGCGATGACTAGCAGGAGCCTTAAAACCCGAGTTACAAGGATTCAAAATAGAAAAACACATAGAGGTCTTCTGGGACTTAATTTGAGAGTTAATCAAGAAATACTGATTTATAGGTAAGGTAAACGTACTAGTGGCTGAACGTGTATCTATAGCTGAACAAGGACACAAAAATTTATTTTTAAATGATTTTTTTCATAATATTATAATTTAATTGTAATCTTTGAATATTTTTACAATTAAATTATTATAATAAAAAAAGTATTTGAGATTAATCAATTTTGTGTACGTGTTCAGATATACATACATGTTCAGCCACTGGTACGTTTACCTTAATGCTCGATGATAAAAATAAAGAAAAAAATAACAAATTGGTCTCGCAAATGACGCGTTAATTAATGAACAATATGAGCTTTTTTTCTCATATTTGTGTCAAAGTAGTTATGTCTCAATTTATCTGAAAGAAAATTTTGATTAGTTGAGAGAGCGATGTTTAGACATTTATATAAGCTCCCGTCTTTCGGAATCAAAGTATCGATACTTTCCGAATTTGTAGACGGTATGCGCGAATCTTATAATTTTTTGTTTACGAGGCGTTTATGATTGCAGAGTTTTTTGGTGAATAAGAAGCAAAGAGAGGCAGCTGCTGCGGCGAACGGAGCAGTTCCTGGCACACCCGGATATAGAAGCTGGTAAGATACACAATTAAACAATGCATGAGAGGTTTAAATAAAATGATCAAACTGCGGGATATTTCGAAAGAAAGAGTAGTTCTCATAAACTTGACTGAAAAAAAAGACACTCTTTGATTACAAGAAATTCAAAATAAAGCGCTTTTCTTTAATAAACTTTTATTTATGCGCGTGCGCATCAATACAATTAATAAAATTTTATTCTGTAGATATTTAACGTAGAGAATTATTTACTTTGTTAAAAACTAAATTAAAAACAAATTTTTTTATAAATTTAAAAATAGTATATACATATATTTGTCTCAGTGGTCCATTCTTCATTAGATACTAAATATGATTATATGTCTACATCATAAAAAACTATTGCATATACTGTCATGTTTGTGCATGTTTTAAATAGATAGTCCTTAACATTTAATTTTTTAAATAAATACATATGTTAACCTTTTGCTGACGGTAGTTGGATTACTCGAAACCTGATGAGTATTTGTTAGTTTTCGAGCATTATTCATTATTATTATACTTTCTTTTTTAACATTGTCAAGATGTCAAAAATCAAACTTAAAAACTGCTGTTTTTTTCTGTTATTTTATATGCAAAGTAGTATTTTTATATGCAAAGCGATTTTTGATTATCCAAATAAAATAGACTACTGATCAAAAATAATCGAGTCTTCCAAAGGGTACGTCTTTCGAAGGTTAAAATGTTTTTTTTTTTATTGCACGTGTATGTTTCTTTTGAAGTTGCAGTGGCTGCAAATATTTATATCCTTTTCTATTCTAAAAACAGCTTTTACTTCGCTAAAAATTATATTGTTCCACTTTTACGATAATTGAAACTAAAAAAAGTTCCGTTGTTCTCGATGCTCCAATCAGTTTGGGCCGTGTCAAATCAAAATTTGGACGTCGTTTCGGTTTCAACGGGTCGTCGCAATCGTCGTCGTTAGTCTTCTCCGCCGCCGAGTAAAGTAACGATAATAGCACAACCTGGCCCAGTTATCCATTTAGCAAATGTGCTCTCAATATTATTTTCTTGTCTCTGTCAATGATAATTTCGTCTTAAAACGAGTGCATATGTGATACTGGAAAAATATATCTTTTCACCCAAGTTCACGAGAAGACATAGGAAACATGTATCATTCTAACTTGCGAAAAATGACATTATAAATCATACATAATAATACATACAACAAAATTAGATAATATTTAATTTAATAAATAAATTCAGCATTTTGCTTTTAAGCAAAATGTATTTCTAAATCCAATTCAAAAATATTATATAATATTATGTATATTATAAAATATTGTATATATAAAATTTGTATTATTATTTTTATTGTATAAAAATAACTTGTAAATGTTATATTATTTTAGACTAAAAAAAGCATGCAAAAAATCAGATGTAAAAAAAAATATAATTTCACTTTAGTCAAAATGATGACAATCCAATAAATCTGCTCTAACTTATTTTACTATTTTCTTTTATTTACAATTTCTTGATAACAAAAAAATGTATACTTTTGCTCTTTTATTAATTATTCATTATTTAAATATTAATGGTTTGTTATGAATGGTGTCTTAAAATTTTTTTCAGGCTACAACCACAGTCGGAATCATCGAGCACCACAAATGCGGCGCATCCATATCAAATGCCGCAGATGCTCCAGAAATTCGGCGATGATTTTCCGCTTAGAAAGACAGGTAATTGTTCCGAGATGTCTCAATTAACTCTTACGCATATTCCGTACAAGTAGTTTGTGTGCCAATAGAATGTCTACTAAAGCATGGTGTTTCGATGTTCGAGAAACGAGTTGAGACCCAAGAAAGCAGCTTATGCGTCGACGCGATGTTTGCATTTTTTTTTTTTTAATGATTTTATCTAAGAAATATATGGAAAAGGTGCTAATGATTCTCCTCGATAAAATTCGCTCGATCGGATTATCCACGAACTACGCTGACATGCACATAGTAAGTCGATACGTTGCGTTTCATTTCCGAATTATAGATGAATCCCCAATTAGTTTCTGCGGTATATCCGCCTTTTCTATTACACCACATGGTACTTTAATTTACGTCTGCTTGGTCTAATAAAAGTTAAAAAATATTAAGCTAAGTTTTTCCGTCCGTCTTTTTAATGCGTACGGCTTGTAATTTGTATTATCGTCACTTGGCCAATGAATCGCTAATTACCGTGCACACGTTATCTTAACTGATACACACTTAATTAAGCTAAAAAGATGCCAACGTGTGCAACGTACGTTCACAAATTTATACATTATTTATGAAAAATACTTGCAAATATAACGCTAAAACATGCCACAACTAGCCTCGTTCCATCAAGAGTTCTTGTTTATTAGTTGAAAACAGCATTATTTTTACCCGACATAACGTTAGACGTTAAAGAGAGAGATATGTGATTTTCGCGAGTTCACATAAAAGGTAAAAAAAGTTAAAAAAAAAACTACATATATATTGGAAAATATTAAGAATATATAAATTTCCAGCAAGCTTTATGATTTATATTTAGCACACATTCTTATAATATATCACATTTTATCATTTATTTGTATTTAGTCTTTTTGACCATCATTTTATATTTCATCTTTAAGATGGCTGCAATGAATAAATTAATCAATTTCAATATGTAGATTGTTCCACCCTAAATTTCTTGTAAATAATAGATTATCGTGGAAAATATTTTAACAAAAGCTGTATATATTCTGAAAAGGGTCAAATCGTTTTTTTAAGATCAATTTTCACATGGAATTATATCATTTTTTAAATATGTATAATAAAAATTTCGTTTAATACGCTAAATTAATAAATTACACTTATGCAAATGATGCTTTTGCAAATCTGACAAATATTTTCATATTTTCTTGTTTATTTTAAAGTACCATTTTCGATCGCGTGACATTTGGCCACTTCGGCTTCTACTCTTCAATAAATTATAAGTCACGCGTGTTATTAATTATTCGCTGCTTGTTCAGGCGCGAGTTCAGTCACAACAGGAGGTCTCTCTGTAGAATTTCATACGCGACCTTCTCTTCCGCGAAAACGTGCATGCCGGTATAAACCGATAAATCCGATAAATATCAAACGAGCGAACGCGAACGCAAATGCGAATGCGAGATGCGAGATGATGAGGGGGTGGGGGGGGAGGGGAGAGGTCGTCTCGCATCGCGTTCTTGCCTTCCGTCCGTCCCCTTTCTTCCCCGCCCCCCTTCTTCCCTTGGTATGACAATGACCAAACTAACAACCGGCTGAAAAATTGGCCAGCCTCGGAGCCGAACTTGCTGAAGGTGCGACTAAAACAACGCGTGGAGAGGAACATGGCTGCGTCGAGAAACTCACCCCTGATGGCACGCCGGAAGGACCGCCTGGCGTCGCACCTCAAGCGGAAGTCGTTACTAGCAAGTATGTTCCTCTCTCTCTCTCTCACACACACACACACACGCGTGCGCGCGCGAGCTTTCTTCGAGAGAGAACTACTCTAGAACGGGTATCCTAGAACGAGAGTTCTCTTCTTTTTTTTTTCTCTGCGCGAGCATTTGTCAACATTACTACATTACATATTTATTTTCTCTTTTTCTCTTTCTCTCTTTCTTTCTCTTTCTTTCTTTTTCTTGCCGCATCCCGAGTGTTCGATTAATTGACTGTTGAATTTTTGCTATTCTTCTCTAACAGCATGAGCAAGACTACTTTCCGATTAACATGTACAATAAATTAGCACCGTCCGAAAATATTGGAGTGAGTCGTCGCGTTGACGAAGCTTCCTAAATAACGCGGCGAATTGAGAGATGTCTAAAGAGCTATTTGGGACATACTTTTATACGGATTGTGCCGCGGTTTTCCATGGATCGTCATGATCGAAATTTACTACATGTATGTGTTGTCACATGCGGCGGAAAAATCTTTTTTTTTTTTTCTCAACGGTCAATAAATCATACGTCTGCCTTCTTTACGCGAGTTGTATAAATGCAATTTCGCATGCGATTTTCGGGCGTGCGATTACCATCCGTCTCACGTGTATTCTTATTGCGTTACGGAGCAATACTATTTCCTCCCTTTTCGGCGATCCAGATGTGATTAATTGTTACGTTTTTCAGATCCTGGCAGCAATCCTGAGTCCGGGCCTAACTCTCCTCCGACTGTCAACAATTCTCAAGCCAGTCCCACTGCTGGAAGCAATACAGCGATACAAGAAGTACGCTTCAACAATACTGCTTATACGTTGCCACGGATCTTACGGTGTTACGCTCATTTTTCACGAGATATTGCTCTGATTATTTATTGCAGGAAAGTGAAAATCCACCGTATGGAGGACGTCTCACTAGTAGTCAACAGGGCAGCCTTTCGGATCTTTCACTTTTCAGTTCACCGTCCATGCCTAACATCTCGTTGGGCAGACCCCATGTACCGTCGAGCTCTTCGGTAAATATATTTTTCATCAAAAATTCGCGTCTTTTCAATTACGACTCACGATCGTTTAGTTATAAATATAACAATTAAAATGTTATAATTTTCTTTTAAATATATTTATATAATTTTCCATATTTATATTAAAAGCTTTCTTTGTAATTACAATATAATATGACAATTCAATTTCCTCTAATTTGCAATCGTTTATATGTGCATATAAAAATATCTTTCCCTTTCATCTTTACCTTTACTTATGGTTTTCTCAATTTAAATATATTTATATAAATATATTTATATAATTTTCCATATTTATGTTAAAAGCTTTCTTTGTAATATAATATGACAATTCAATTTTCTCTAATTTGCAATCGTTTATATATGCATATAAAAATATCTTTTCCTTTCATCTTTACCTTTACTTATGGTTTTCTTAATTTAAATATATTTATATAAATATAGGGTAACTGTCCCTATTAGTGTACTTTTATATTTAAATAAGTCATAAAAATAAACTGGTACAAATAAATAGACAAAGTATTTTTTTTCTATAAAGTTAATACTTTAACTTAATA